CGAAATAGAAGGAAACGCATTCCACTGTTACCCACTATCCATCTTTCCTTATAATACTGATGACATAAGGCTATATTGAAGCAATCAGCATAGGATGCACATATGCCAATAAGAGACTGATCAATTGCAATTTTAAACACTAATGAGAAGGTTTAAGTAAAAAATAACACGCACACGCAACAAAAATGCTGGAGAAGACGACCAATGTAGCAGCAGCCTCAGCAGAAATATGTCTAAACATACACAAAAGGAAAAGCAAGAGTCTCCGATACAATACAGCATGCAACAACCGAATCACACTTGACGGAGAAGATTTGAAAGATGTAAAAACCTTTACATATCTGAGCGGTATCATTGATGAACACGGTGGATCTGATGCAGATGTGAAGACACGTATCGGCAAAACATGAGCAGCATATTTACAGCTAAAGAATATCTGGAACTCAAAACAACTGTCAACCAACACCAAGGTCAGGATTTTCAATACAAATGTCAAAACAGTTCTACTGTATGGGGCGAAAACCTGGAGAACTACGAAAGTCATCATACAGAAGGTACAAGTGTTTAATAATAGCTGTCTTCGCGAAATACTTCAGATCCATTGGTCAGACACTATCAGCAACAACCTACTATGAGAGAGAACAAACCAGATCCCGGCGGAAGAAGAAATCAGGAAGAAGCGCTGGAAGTAAATAGGATACACATTGAGTAAAGCACCCAACTGCGTCACAAGACAAGTCCTCACATGGAGTCCTCAGGGCCAAAGAAGGAGAAGAGGAAGACCAAAGAACACATTACGTTGAGAAATGTAGACAGATATGAGAGGAATGAACAAACATTGGATAGAACTGGAAATGAAAGCCCAGGACAGAGTGGGTTGGAGACTGCTGGTCTCTGGCCTATGCTCCATTGCGAGTAACAGGCTTAAATAAGTAAGTAAGTAACAAGTGAAGTTTCTCTTTTCTCTTTTGATTTAAAATCAAATTAATGATTCATTTGTAACGTGATGACTGAATATTAAAATAATTATTTTGTTTGAATATTATCTCAATTTATATTTACCTCTTTTAAATAACTATAATTAATATAACATATAATACAGGTGTATATTTAGTGATTTAATCTTCAAACAGAAAGTGTTATTTCAAATTGAATATTGTCATATTTTCATTTGCCTAGGTTACTGGTGGAACTGATAAAATAAATTCAAATAATCCCACATTAACACCATTGGTTGCCAGCTAAGTAATCTGGAGGTTAAGCGTCCTTGTGAGAGATTAAAGGTCCTGGTTTTGAATCACGCGGGTGAGATCGTGGATGCACACTACTGAGATGTACCATACTAGGACGTCTAGTACTCCCAAGTTTACAATGATGGCCTAACATTGATCGATGCATGTTTTCAATGTAATTCAACAGTTTCCACAACTCTAGACTTACAACTCTAAAGTGATTTACACTATAAAATAATGTTATCTGGCAAATTTATCATTGATTTGAATGTAAAACAAACTGCTTGTTAATGATATTCTGAGTGGTTCCTACTGGCTTTTGTTATGTTTATATAGCTTGTTAATTATCACGTGATACGACCGCCAATTAGAACACCGACTTATATGACCAGATCAATGATGCATAAACCAGTACGAGCAGTCCAGAGTAAATTCTAGGTTCTTATTAGTCCACCGGGATATTTGCTTCTCTCTTGACCCAACCGGTTCAATAAAGAATACCAATATCAGCCTCCACTTTATGAATCATATATTACAAACATACTGGGTTTATATACAAACAAATCAAACTACATCACACCATAAAAAAGCGAAACAGTATCTTTACAAGATCAAAGCAAAAGTTATAGTGATTATGAGAAACTGTGACTAATAGATTGAGAAGAACTTGAGAATAGTAAATCATATAACAGTAACCAATTAGTCAATTAAAAGCTTATAATGAAAGGAATATGAACATACTAATAATATAGTTACTCAATAGTTGTACAATGAGAATATCTATATATCACTCTCTGTTCTCACTCTCTTCCCTTCGATCATCTTAACCTTCTTCTACCAGACATTTCACTTTGGAATGGTGACACATACTACTTATATCTGTCGATATCAGTAGTACACACCACAATTGTAGTAGTAATAAAAGTAGTATATTATTTCATAAGCTCTAAAAAATTTAATTTATTGTACAATCAAAATCATAAGAAACATTACAATTTTATTTTTCTCAAATTTTTTCTGCTTCAAATCATTTTCTTAATCGAGTTTTTGCATAGAACTAATGTCAAATAGCCCCGTTTAGTAAGTAGTGTTTGTAGTAGTAGTAGTAGTAATAGTACTGATATGCGTGACCTAAATTAATTCCAATTAAACAAGAGCCTTCGTTACGCCTACTTGTTATCTTTTTTCCCCTTAATAAATCATAATGTTATTACAATTAATATTAAGATTATTATATTAGCATTTCAACTGTTATCACTGATGGCGGTATTCTTGTGTCGCTTCAATGTTATACAGTGTACAGCTACATGTGCATATATTTATATATATATACATAGAACATCTTATCTATGAAGATCGACCATATGTATGTGCATGAATAGGTATACCTATATGTGTGTGGCTATATATCCATATGTATCTGTGTGTGTATATATTTATGTTAGAGAGAGAGAGAGAGGATAAAAGATACTACTCAAAAATTTACCAAATAATTACCACTACTACTATAAGCTTATTATATAAGTATAGTAAGTAGATATTAAATTAATTTGATTCTACAAACAAACACTTATATTTGTATACTATTAGTCAAAACAGTAGTGAGTAATATATACAAGCATAATAATAATAATAATAATAATAATAGTAATAATAATAGTAGTAATAATAGAAACGATAGAATAAAGGCACTATATTTTATATAGAAAATGTACATCATTGGGAAAAGACTCTTTTTGAAAAATATATCAACAACATTGAAATATGAACATTGGTTTGTTTAAGACGGGAAAAAACGAATGAATGAATGAATGAATGGAAGAGAAGAATAGGGTGTAGTTTTCCTTCATTTTCTTGTTTCTTATGTTGTTGAAAACGTTTACTTCTAATCTGTAATTGATTAGAAAGTTACTTATTGAATTCGTTTGTAGAGAAAAAAAAGAATCCTCACATTATTCAAATGAAATATTATTAGGTCTTATATGATAGATGATAAGTCTTGCTCATTGAACGCTATATTCGGTTCCTAAGCTATTCTTGTAACCGCACAAGCTAGAACTATACAGTGATTTGAACATGAGAGAAAAAGCGTGAAATATGCGAGAAGCACTTGACTTCAAATATTTGTTTTAGTAGAGAAAACATAGGGTTTTTATAGTATTTTAGATGTCTTTGGGTTTCCCGAAAATTTCCGAATACTACTCAACATAGTAGCAGTATAGTAACCAGCCAATCAGAAACTCTACATGTGACTTTTCACTTTCTTGATGTTTCTGGCTAAACTTCTAGTGAACGCTGATTGGAAAAAAAAATGCTTCTTAGTGTTTCTTGATCCTTTCTTGTCTTTTGTGAGAAGTTTTCTAAATCACCCCAACAATAGACTAATTTAATCTTTGGGAACTATGAGGCATTGTATAGTCATTTTACCCTAATAAAAGACTTTTCAACTAAATACCTGTTGTATCCTGATAAGAATAATGAATGGTAATTTTTGGGATGCATTTATGGACCAATATTATGAGTATATTTTTATTGTATAATTGTTATGGAAATAAACTGTTCATATTCATGTCGCTCTTATTATAAGCTTTGATTTAACCCATAGACTATAATTATACGATTTACCATTCATGAATTATTCCCTGTCTGTTAATCGCTACCTCCCTCATTCACAGCCACATCTGGCTAATTCTTGTACAAATGTTGTTTTAAATTTTATTGGTACGTTGTGGTCGGTTTGTTTGGTATATAAACTCAGTATGTTTGAAATACAATGATTCATATCTCAGAGGCTGAGGCTGGTGTTCTGGACTAAACTGGCTGGGCTAGACAGGGGTCCGAACGATAATACGCTGCCGTCTAATCAGCAGTCACACAGTCACAACAATATCTATTTAAGATCTCATTGGATATTGAACTCAAAACTTTCAAGTCTCTTTACAAAGTGATTACATGTACTTAGATCATACTAGAATAAAATGGTTGTTCAATGTGTCTTATCTAATTAAGATTATATCGTTATGTGAAGTATGAAATTAAAAAAGAAATTTCACAAGAACACACAATCATCATTTTTATATCATCAAATGTATTGCATAATTAGTAACTGTGTCTAACGATGGTTGATATGTTGCTCACTTCTTTATTTTTCCTCTGAATTTTAAAGAGAATCCCATGTACTTCTATCATTTATTAATTTAACGTGATAATTTTATATTGAATGGTAATTATATATAGTATACGTTATCAGTGAATAAATGTTTAGTCTCGTAGATTGTTATGACATAACTGAAATAGTAAAAGTCAATCTAGAAAATGGATCAGTATGATATTGTACCTTCATCATGAAGTTGCAAGTATTTATAAATAGTTTTCTACTCAAGATATTCTACATTCATTGGACGGATACCATCAGTTACAGCCTTCTGCGGCAGAAAACAAATCAACTTCCAGATGAAGAGGAAATTAGGAAACGTCTATGGAAGTGGATAGGACATAAAGTACAGAAATCATCAAAATACATCAAGAGACAAGTCCTAACTTGAAATCTTAAGGGAAAACGGAAAAGAGAAAGATCAAAGAACACAATACATCGGGAAATAGAAGGAGATATGAAAAGGATGAATAGCAACTGAAAAGAGCTGGAAAGAATTGCTCAGGATAGGGTTGGATGGAGAGTGCTTGTGGGAGGCCTATGCTCCTTTACAAGAAGTAACAGGCATAAGTAAAAAGCTTTAAATAACTTTTTATAGAAAAAGATTGACTCACGTGAAACACTATCCGTTGGCTTGTGTGAACCTAAAAATGAAACATGAGGGGATAATTATGTTTCGTAATATATATATATAACCTTGTGACATTTCAACCATATCACACATTGTCATAGTTAGAGATGCTAACATTGAGCTGCAAGACTATAATTTCAACATAAATCATTCACTGAATGACAACTAATATCATGTTATATAAGTTCTTAAAGTTTATCGAGTTTCATCTGCTAAGTTACAATATAGCCACTTCTGTGAAGAGGTTTATTCAGTGCATGTTTATATGCATTTATGTATATATGTATGTATGTTTGCATCATATAATTAATCTGGATCAGCTTTTGTTCAGTAGTGTTAACGAATATCTAAATAATGTTTATTCATTAAGCTTTATCAACTATGAATGTGTAGAACTCTTAGAATTCAGAAGTAATCGGTAAGTTTTCCTATAACTAAGATTATTTCAAAAAAGTGAATGGTGTGAGAAACTATGCTAAGCTCTTTCGAAAAGAATTTCTTCCGAGGGTTACATAGATGAATAAATAGTGTATTTCTGGAATGGATCCACTAGCAGTCGTCACTTTTCAATATGTAAAAGGTTTTACATTTAACCGATAAGATATTCATTTATTCAGTGATTAAATAAGCCTAAACTTAGGTATTTGTTTAGGTTTTATAGCTCAGTAGGTAAATGAATATAACAGAACTTTGAAGGTTTTCTAACTTTTTCTCTTAGCTGTAGTAGCGAAATAGGTATCACTGTTAGGAAAGAATGATGAATGCGCAATACCATGAACTAATTTAGAAAGAAATGCTCACTATTTGATTTCGACTCGGTGGTCTATGGTTAACTCACTACTCATGAGACTGAGAATATCAAATTCACTCTCTAGCAAAGTCCTTAATGGACATTTCTAAGTAATCTTAAACTATCCAATGGTTTTGAGATTTCAAGAATTGTCTAGAAGAAACCAATTCATGATCTTAAACATCTTTCACTTACAATGATAACTGATTAGAACAGAAAACTAATATAATACATGTCATTATAGATTGATCTCAATTAATGTGTCTATTAGAACGAGCAAAAAATCAACAACCATTTCTTTGCATTGTAGAACTTCTTAGCAGTGCGTGAACATTAAAGACCAAACCCAAGACCATAAGGTATCCTTACGAGTTCCTATACTAGGCCGAAATATCTGTCCAATGTTTTTTGAGTATTCAATGATGTTCGAACTGAAATAGGTCTATGACAAATGCTACATTATAATAAACTAATCTTCACAAAATCATTTTATTAAAAATATACCTATCAATGTGATTTACCTGTTTGAATAAACCGATAAACTGCTTGAAATCCTCTATGAGCAATAGTTGAATCACTATGAAATCGTAACCACATATATTGACCAGTTGATATGAGTCCAGTGCCTAAATCAGGCACTTGTTTTGAACAAAATCTTCCCAATAATGTAGTAAATCCAAAAGCACCATCTCTTATTTCTAAAAAATCTGTTGTACAATGTGATTCCGGTTCTAATTCAAATGTTCCACGAAAATGTAACACAATACGATGTTGATCAGTAGGTGCTATGTGTATATAAACAAAATGGGGGTAAGGAGATTTTTATTCACATAAGTTATAACAAAACATACTAATGTGAATTACATAATACGTCAAATAAAAATATTAATAATTTCATTATAAATTAGTAAGAATTGAAAAGCTTATATGCTTTCCATTTAAAATGCTTGATACTGACTTCCTAACCACTTTCTAGTCCTCAAGAATCTTCTACAATCGATTGCTAAATGTATTACAAAAGTTGTAAAGTAGAAAAAGATCTACTCTTAAGTAAATTTTATGCATGAGGAACAAGGATATTCAGAGAATAATGTACGATCTAAAGACATGAGAAGCTTCTGAAGGAATTTCCAGAATGAACAGTAGAATCTGTAATTCTTCAGTCAGAATAGTGAAGACATTTTCGATTGTTTTCTACAGTCCATTTGGAAGTCTCTGCAAAACACTGATTTATCAAAGTAGTTTCAGCATTCTTCTGGCCTTTGGAGACATGTTCTAGGAATTGTCAGGAGTTCCTGATAAAAACTATCGATGACACTAGCGGTCTTTTTGTCTAGTTTTGTTACTTCTCATCAGTGTACAGATATAACACGTAAAAGTGATAATACTCAAAGCTTTAACATTTACATAACATCAGTTAATTTGAAATTTAGACACATTTATGACTAAATAACACTCATAAACAAGTATTTTTACTCCCAACTGTCATCTCCTCATGATTTGATGGAGAAAGATCAATCTAATAAAACTGTGTTCCTTTGAGCTGGGTGATTTAATTATGACGTGATGTTTATCCAGTTTTACGAGATTTCTCAACAACGTACACATCTGGTTGTGTCAACTTTTTAACACGATCTGTGCTCATTAGCTAGTACACGTTTAAATCTTCAAGTAACTCTTAAGCTTTCTTAATGTTATTTTTTATTATCCATAGTTATTCTAATGAGTATTTTTACCGCTGAAAATACGACAGCAGACTTCTTTAATGCTTTTTTTGTACATGATCAGATGAGTGTTATATTTTTTCTAACAGGTTAGTGGTGCTGTGGTTTGTGCTACTGATGTTGACAGATATAAGTAGTATGTATCATCAAACGAAAGTTTAAGAAGATAGAAGAGAAGAGAACGAGAACAGAGAGTGATTGTTATGGAAACGAAGGAACAATGAAGTCTGAGACAATTGATTGACATTATGTTGATGAAATGTTTACTATATGCTCCTCAAATTTTACTAAATGATTCTGTAATATTTCACTGTAATACATTCGGTTGTCCCCATTTCTGTTCTCGTTCACTTCAGTACTACTATCCGACTTATTTCGTGTTAGCTTCCATCATTTATTATTAGTATCATCTTATGAACTTGATTAACTTCAGAACACAAATGAAATATTATTTAGTAAATATATATATATGTTATATTTTTGAAGGAACACATTCACAATTCATAGATCAGTGTTTCGTTATACTAGACAATAATAGTCTATGAGGTATTCATAATCATATTGATGACTTCATATTAGAGGACATGACCTCTCGGTGATTCGAGCCTCAACTAACTTCTTGCAGAACTGAAATGTCGCTTTCTGAACGGTTAACCTGAATCATTGTAAACTGTAGAGTTTGTTAACGAGAGTTCGAATCTATTAAGATGCATCATTTCACTCAAAATCCCCAAAATACTTTACTGACGGGTCCCAACTCACATGGACTTTAGTATGAACTCTTCACATACATTCTTACTCTGCATGAGTAGGTGAGGTAGTGCAATTGCTACTAAAATGAGCAGTAGGACGCAATATTCTATACTGGAAGAAAACGTTAGTTATTTGCATTACAATTCTCAATAATTATCTATTTGATGTAAGCTTTTATTTCATAATGGTACTCATTCTTACTAGTGTACTGCAAAATTTACCATACGGAAGGATTCCAGTTAAAACATTAATTTCCTGACAACCACTCATTTAAAAAGATCCAATTCATTATAGACAGTGAAGAAGATTTATTGCTGAGACGAATGATTTTGATGGAGTTTCGTTCCCTGAGCTGAATGTTTTTTAATCTTTCCGTTGTTACCGAAACATAGTTGAGTTCGAATACTTCATTTCTACCTGACTTTTGTGCTGATGACGTCGTCCAGAGGAACAGTGAAAACTTTACAAGTAAACTACCTCCTTTAGACGATGAAACTCCATCGAAATCACTGCACTTTAATATTCATTTAATTGTTAACTTATGGTAGATAATTTTTAAGTTGAAGAATAGAAATCAATTTATTACTTATAAGTAGTTGAATCAAAATAGTCAAAAAATATAGAAGAACTTTTCATCGTCAAAATAACTTTGGAACCACTATTTCAGTGATACTGAAACTTTCTCATATAAACGTAATAGGTTTCGACACACATTCAGTTTGACATCATCATGTTATGTTTGCATACAAGAGTAATATATCATTAAGTATATTAATAGTTAATTATTAATAAGGATGACAATCGAATTCTAGACACAAACTAATTAATATTGCATAGAATTCCTGTCTTAGAACTATTTAAATTGTATATACTGAACAGAAAGTATGTCTTAACAAGTTTTCCAACAATGACTAGGCTCTATTTATTTTTGTTAAAACTGTCCAACTCTTTTCGCTCTTATAATATCTTTTTTTCCTAACTTCATCTCCTTCTTCGAACAGGAATTTCATTACAATAACATTGTTTCTTCCCTTTCCCAAGTTAAGCGATAATGTGTTAATTTGTTCTATGAAAAACCTATGAATAGATCAAGAATTGGTCATTGAAAACCGAATAAGTAAAAGAAACTATACGGTTGTATATCCGCATTTCTTAAAAAGACAATTCGTATAAAGCATTGTTTGCTTTCAATGATCAATTTAGAATGATTAATAAATTAGAACATAATAATCATAAATCTTGATGAGCAAATCTATTACTACTCATCATGTAATTCAGTAGTAAAAGTCACTTCTGTCATTAAAAAAATTAACCTACACAATAAACAAAGTATTTTTTAGGTCGTTTAAAATGGACAAGACCATCCACCCAATTTTCGTTGCTTAGCTCATGTGTTATAACTAGTCACTTTTATTCCTTTTCTTTTAAAACTCATGTAGTGGAATAGGGCCACAAACTCAAATATAACTTTCATCAAATATGCTAGACACTATCACCATTGGATGCCGGCTCAGTGGTCCAGTAGGTTAAGTGTTCGCTCGCGAGACCGAAGGCCCTGGGTTCGAATCCCGCTAGCGGGATCGTGGATGCGTACGGCCGAGGAGTTCCACAATAGGACGAAACGGCCGTCCAGTGCTTCCAGGTTTTTAATGGTGGTCTAACATCAATCGGTTCATAATCTCAATCAAAGATTTTATTTAAACCTTCTAGAATTATATGTAGTTGTCTTTTATACACATGTCCAAAAATAATGAATAAAATACAAACTTAAACACGAAGAACATAACGGATAGTATCAACCATCATATAGAAATTTAAAACAATGATCATTCAAGTAAAAAATTTATCTTCATTAATTGTACACGCAAACACTCTTACTTCATCGCAACCAACCATAGATACATACATATATATGTTTAGAGAGACAGACACTTGCATATATATATATTTTACAGTTGGCACATATCATCTAACCAAATTCGATTCAAACACATTAAATTTCATTAAACGTTCTGAATTCTAGTTCAAGAAGTAGAAGAAGAAGAAGAAGACTTCGACACTAATACTAAATACTAAATCTTATTTTTAGAAAATCTTTTATTCAATTAAATGATTTCATCATTTATCTTCATACACAGAATGTATCCATGAATATTTTCTTTTCCGTTTCTATGTTCAAAGTAACTTTTCTTTTGTTTTTCAAAAAAAAATAAAATAAAATTAATTTAAATTCATTGAACCGATTCCCTGTTCCCTCTTCTAACAAATTGCCTGTCGAAAAACAATATTAATAACCATAATAATAATAATAATAAACAATTTATAATCGATTGATTGATTATATTATCACAGCAACAAAACAAAACAAAAAAACAAAAAAAAATAAGGAAAGGAAAGAATGTTGGCAATCGACAAAGGCGACATTGTATGCACGTCTATGTAAGTCAATGAATAAGTACTTCTAAAATAGTAGAAGAACACAATGAAATATATATATATATATATATATATATATATATACGTATATAGAAGATTGGTGAAGTTTAACGAAAATATGGAAGAATGAAACTGGTTTCTATTCTCTTTTCTTTTCTTTTTGTTTGTTTTTCTTCATATTCTATTTCATTATTTAGTTCTATTCTCATTTTTCTCTTTCTCTCCCTCTCTCTCTCTCTCTCTTTATTTTTGGTGTTATTGTCTTTGTTATGGTTTTATTTTAGTAAGAGAAAAGAATATAAATTATAATTAAATAAATAAATAAATAAAATTTCATTTTATTTATATACTACTCATGCTATGAATTGGTTAAATGATTCAATGAAAAACAAAAACAAGCTCCTTTATTCTTTAATTCACTTGATGTTATTTTACTTGTATCTAACCATTATTATTTAAGATTACAATCGATTAGTCTCATGTTAGTATATGTACACATCTTGTGCAAATTGTATCGATATCATCTTAAGTCACAAGCTTTTGTTTTTAGCAAAGATGTATAGTGGTATTTGAAGTGAACGGTATTGGATTGGACTTCCAAAGTGAACATCAACTGTGGGATGCAGTTACATTCAGTTGACGAGTGTCAAACAGGATGAAACGCGCATCAGACTGGATTCCATTGCTAGCCACTATCTATCTTTGCTTAAAAAAGCTTTTTGTTTGTTTGTTTGAAACAGTAAGCTTTTTCAAGAAGAAAATTGTGGTAAATGAATACGTTTTAGAAGTTGATTTTATTATATGTATTGAAGAGATCAATTGTTGATTGAATAGTTCTGTGGTAAGATTTCAGATTGTAAAGTTGAATGATAAAAAATGAAATTCTTAAAAGAAAATGTTATTTCTTCAAGATGTTATATATTGCTTTGTTGATAAGTGACAAATAGTATGAAATTTAAGTTAAGTAGGTTTTCTTGTTGACTATTATGAATCAGTTAATGTTTGAATATAATGTATAGGTTGTTTAGATTTTTGATCACTTTACGACTTGATCGATAGAATTTGATCAGTAATAAAAAGGATTAGATAGTTGTTTGATCAATCACTAATCGGTGATTAATTGATTGGATAGACATTAACTGAACAGACATTAATGTCAATCATGGCAAATCACAAAATTTATTTTTTATGTATTTAAGACATTACATTAGTGCTTATCCATGATCACAGCCCAAGGTAAAGACCTGAATCTTTAGCTTTCACTTTTAATGTATCATCTTCATGATGAAAATAATAACCATAATGATAATTACTGGAAAGAAGAACCGGTTCTTACATAAAAAACAACACCTTTTTATGATAACATCTTAGTTTCGATTTTTATTTTGTTTTTATTCTCAAGTTAACAAATCTGACATGTTCGACTTCATAACAAGTAAGGTTAACAAATGTTTCAACTTTAACAAATATGAGATTTTCCAGTTTGAATCATGATCATATCTTAGCTAGATCATAAATGAAAACCTGAAAACATTAGGTAGTTATTATATCTTATGATGGGAGTTCTCAACAGCACGCACAAGCAACTAGAATCCAGGACCTTCAGTCTCACGCGTGACCACTGTTAATGTCTATTTTTAATTGATTCGTGATCTTTCTCAATCCTTCATCCATTTTATGATGAGCATAACTGTCTCCACAGTCATGGAGTCCCATACTAAGACAAAATGGCCGTTCAGTGTTTCTAGGTTTTCGACGGTGGCCTTGTAGTGTCAGTTGACATGTTAAGCCCATATAACTTATTCTAGCTTTCGGACAGGTTAATCCATTCATTCTACTTGAGTCACAATTTCACCTTATTAATTATTTGTTTATCAATCTTCACTGCTTTTACATGAACGCATATGTGTGTACCCTTCTTATCCTCCCTCTCACATGTCTATAGCTTATTTTTGTGTGACTATAAATATTGATTAACGCTTGACTTAATGGAGTTGACTCACTTTCCTTCTCCACTGTGCATCATTTTGTTCCGCTCTCTTCTATTCGCTTCATCCCTCTGATTCCTTATCCAGACCAGTGAGTATACAAAATATATACTTTCAAAAATTCATTCTCATATTTGACTTATGTAATTCCGTTATTCTCTAACGCGATCTAAGTCGATGATTATATACGAGGTTTGACGATATATATATATATATCTCAATAGTAATAAAAGACGATCTCACTGGAGTCAGATCCCTAGGTCACTAAAGTGATGAGTCATGTCATGATCATCATCCGATCTAATTAATGTCTAAATCAAGGTTCACTAAAGTCTAACTTACACTGACTCATGAATTCAACTGTTAAAATTCATTTGTTTTTTGTTGTAGTAAAAAATTAATAAATAATCAAGAGATACTCCTGGAGTTCTAGTGAGAAGCCATTACCAGTGGAGTTCAACCAGGTCTGTTGTAAGAACTCAACTCACTGAAGACAATGGTATACGGTAGCGCAATTTCGTGGATTGGTTGAAGTTATACATTAACAACAGTGGATGTCGGATCAGTGGTCTAGTTGGTTAAGTGATTAGCGCGAGACTGATAGGTCCTGGGTTCGAATACCGCGGGATGCGGGATCGTGGATGCGCACTGCTGAGGAGTCCCATACCAGGACGAGACGGCCGTCCAGTGCTTCCAGGTTTTCCATGGTGGTCTAGCTTCAATTGATTCATGATTTCAATCTGTGAAATTTCTAAAAATCTCCACAAACCCCTTCTGATAATAAATCTATTAATTCATTCATTTATAAACTTACCAGCAATCACTTTAATACATTCAATATTTAATGGATATGGTGCTGGATAATTTGGTGTTTGAAAACTATATTCAATTGTACGTTTTGGTAAATTAGACATACCAAAAAATCCATTTAACATGGATGATGAATCTTTTATATATTTAATTTCAGTAGATTGAATAAATTCCATACATTTTATATCTTGATATGGTAATGTATAATCTGGTGATAAAATTTCTTCAGGTTCATAATAATTTGTAATTGGTTGTTGGTGTTGTTGTTGTTCTTGTTGTTGTTGCTGATGTGGTTGTTGTTGTCCTGATTGTTTTGAATGACTTCGACGTTCAATTTTATGAATTATTTGATTATTTGATATATTATAAGAATCATGATGATGATCAATAATATATTGATTTTTTATATTATGATTATTATTATTATGATATAAATTAATCGATATGTTATTATTGAAAGACATATTTGATTTCATAATAATAAGATTGGATTCAATTTTATTTAAATTCAATAATAAAATCAATAAATCCATATAAATAATCCATTTAAAATAGATTAGAATAATTGATTTCCAATATTTATAATGATACCATCTCCACCATAACCATTCTATGAACATAATTTTAATAAACATAATGATTTTATACAAGAATGATGATAGAAAATAATAGGACTACTACTTCTAGTAATAATAATACTACTAATAATAATGATACTACTAATAATTATAGCAGTAGTAGTAGTAGTAGTGGTGGTTGTGATGGATTGTAAACCCTTATTATTATATAAATGAATAATGAATAATATAAATCTATCTGAAATTATTTCAAGTATATTATAGTGTTCAATTTGATAATTGAATGTGAAATATGAATAAATAATAATAATAATAATAATGATTAATAGAATGAAATGAATCCAATGATTAATGATGATGAATTGAATCAATAAATTGATTATTGAATAATTGAAATATTTCTCATATTGAATGATAATTTGAATAATATAAGATAAATATTGATAATAATAATAGAATAATTTGATAATTTTTAACTTCATTGGTTTATATCACAGTTTATGAATGATGGATAATCTAATAAGAATAATATGAGAAGAAAGTTAATTATTTAATTAAATTATAAATTGAACATAAATATTATTGAATGTTGACTTAGTGATTAAGAGGTTAAGAGTTTGCATACAAGATCGATAGGTTGTAGATTTGAATCCTGGATACGCACTGACGAGGATTCCCGTACTAAGACGAAACGGTCGTCCATTGTTTCTAGGTATTCATGGTAATCTAGCTTCAATGGACTCATGATTTTAACTATTGAAATTACTAAAATCTTTACATAACTTCTGATGACAATCATCTGTTCACTAGTGATTGACTTCAAGAGGCGTTTATTTGGAGTTCCGGTGAGAAGCCGTGACTAGTGAAGTTCAACCAGGTTTGTTGTGAGATATTAGCTCACTGAAGACAATACTGTACGATGGCGCAATTTCGTGGATTGGTTGAAGTTAGACATTAACACCGTTGGATGCTGGCAGGCTCTGTGGTCTAATGGTTAGGCGCTCGCGCGCGAGACTGATAGGTCTTGGGATCGAATCTCAGGAAGGGTGGGATCGTGGATGCGCACTGGTGAAGAGTACCATAATACGACGAAATAGCCGTCTAGTGCTTCCTGGTTTTCCATGGTGGTCTAGCTTCAATTGATTCATGATTTAAACTATTGTAATTATTCAAATCTCCACAAAACTTCTGATTTAGGTATTATTTTACTAGGCAGCGATATGAGATACAATCAATTCTACAAGCATAACAGATTAACGAATTTTTTTGTAAATACGAAGTAAACTTAACAGTCGAAATAATGATATAAGCGAAGATTGACCAATTGCAGTCCTGAATAACATTGAGAAGATACAAACAAATTATACCAAGTGAATTTAAACTTCATCACATTTCATAAGCAAGTGTCTATCAGGACTCAGTTGATAAGTAGATAAAGCAATGGCGTTCGAAGCTAACAGTAATAAGCTCGAGTCTTGGAGAGAACATTAATTGTGGCATACAGGTATATCTAGCTGATGAGTTCAAAATAGGACGAAACGCGCCTCCTTGATTTGACTGCTAGCTACCATTCATCTTTGATAATGATAGGTTTGTTTGTGACATAATAATAAATCTTGATTTATTAACGATCATTCAAATTAATGAATAAAAAACGAATTTAAAATTAACTCACAGTATTAGTGTCACATCAGTAATTTGACCTTTACCTTTTACATTACTTATTCCCTAAAACATGAACAACTATCTGTAATCTAACAGATTCTACAAGATTGACATGATAGTGGGCATTTAAGAAATTTAGAAAGTTTATATATATACTATGAACATTATCTTTGATTGTCGTAACAAGTGGATGACATCAAACAACAAATTTTTCAAGACCTCTTTTTAAATTGGTTAAAAGCTTTTTAAATACTGTCTTACTTAGCATTGTATGTCCAGAGATGATTTCTTGTATGAATACATTACACATATTTATTTTTCGATAAATTACATGAAATTATTACCGTTTGCATACCTAACCTCATAAACTGAAACAAGATTATATTGTCAATTTCGTTATCATTTTAGAGACCAGCGAAATGCAGAAAGCATTTGGATGCCTGTTGCTGCCTTAGTTTCAAACTCTGGAAGATTATACGCAAAATCGAACATGGAATCATTAGACATTTTTTTGGGAAACATGATACCTTCAGTCCACTGTCATATTTGAACGTGAAGGGACTTACCGTTTAAGGATAAAATAATTGTCTACTGCTTTATTGGTTTTCAATGGACCTCTAGATAATAATAGACTGAAAACTATCTACGAATCGTCTACTAGGATTTCAAAGGGCTAATTATGCAAGAATAAAACTTGATCTTGTACCACGATTTCTTAGAGTAAATTTCACCTAAACATGGAAGCTTATCTAATTTTACTGTGCTAGAACATGCTACCATAACTTGATGACGGTGAATATTACACTTGAAAGCTTAGACGACAACTTTCTAATCGGTTCCCAGACCCCAAAATTTATTGAGTTGTAATTCAATAAGAAAAATATAAAAAGTTCAGAACAAATTTTACTACCACGAGTTCACTTAGTCGGCAATCGAGAACAAGACTCAGTGATCAAAGACCAATAAGCTAACTATTGATGCGTCCCAGCCCAGCTAACTAGAGGGAGAAGTTCAAGCTTGGAATGGGAAGTATATTCTGCAAGACAGCCAGAAACGAGCGATAACAACAAACACAATTCAAAACGTATATATACAGTGCGAAACCGTCCTTGGGGAGAGTTACCAAATAGTATACTAAAAGACGCAACGGACCAACAGTATTTAAGATATTTCCCAGTGGGAAATACGACATGAAGGTGACAAGAGCACCTTTGGCGCGAAAACAAAGAAATTCAAATTTCCTAAATAAAATTGCAAAATTAGGTGGTTCCCCAAATGAGTTCTAGGGATCTAACGTCCCCAAGAAAAACACGAGTGTATTTATTAAAATATTTGGCTGTTAAGATCTAATACTTTTTCAGAGAACATACTAAAAATTCATTAATCGATTTGGTAATTATTCAATCCGTGTCAAACAACCATAATCAATTATTTTCTAGGTTTCTCGTAAAACATTGCACAGAATACTGTGTCGTCGAAATGTTTTTTTTCTTAAGATTTCTACTGGCTTCTGCAAAATTTTCCCCGGGAATTATCAACGTTTCCTAAAAGAACAACCAATTTAAAAAAACAAATCAAAATGCTCAGAGAAAAAAACTCCATCAAAATCATCCAGCTGAGCTACAAATCTTCTCCACCATCACAAATCTATATGCATTTATCTATAATCTTTCAGTTCTACCTTGTCTGAACTTAAAAAAACACAATGAATTTACCTCATCAATATAAGTTTCTTCAGTAGGAACAAAATCAATTCAATTTAGGCTTAATGGCATTTCGAACCATTCTTAAATGAATTGAAGATAGACTCACGACAAGATACATTGAAACAAGCATACAGATACATAAAGTCTATGCTCCCCACAAATAACATAATTGTCATTTTCGTTAAGAAATATAGTTATTAAGATTTACAAAAACCATTGAACTAGATAATTTAAACAATCTTAATCATAGCCACAATTTACCTAGTAAAATTCGAGTTAAAATAAAAAAGCCAAATGTATTATTATCTGATTAGACATAGTAACAGTAATGTACATATTCAGTAATTTACTTAGATACCGACTGATAATTCAGTAAAATAGACAGTGGAAAGTTCGAAATAGATAGATACATAAGGGGTGGGGTTTGGCAATAGTGATGATGATGATGATGATGATGATGATGATGATGATGATGATGATGATGATGATGATGATGATGATGATGATGATGATGATGATGATGATGATGATGATGATGATGATGATGATGATGATGATGATGATGATGATGATGATGATGATGATGATGATGATGATGATGATGATGATGATGATGATGATGATGATGATGATGATGATGATGATGATGATGATGATGATGATGATGATGATGATGATGATGATGATGATGATGATGATGATGATGATGATGATGATGATGATGATGATGATGATGATGATGATGATGATGATGATGATGATGATGATGATGATGATGATGATGATGATGATGATGATGATGATGATGATGATGATGATGATGATGATGATGATGATGATGATGATGATGATGATGATGATGATGATGATGATGATGATGATGATGATGATGATGATGATGATGATGATGATGATGATGATGATGATGATGATGATGATGATGATGATGATGATGATGATGATGATGATGATGATTGTAAACAGTCATTTAAATATGTTCAATTATTTTTTTAAATAATCTGAATATAAATTAGTGAATTAAAACAAATTTCACTGTCAAAATGATTAGAAGATAAATAAATAAATAAACCATTTACTTAAGCTGTACATTCGTATATATAGTTATATGGAAAATGTATATCTGTAGGAGGATAAAAAAATTGCATCACCAAAATGGATTTGAGGATAAATAACAAATGAGGTTACATACTAATCAAGTGGTAAGGACGAAAATCATTTATGGGTTAAATCTACACAACAGAACATAACAACACTTGTGAACAAAAAAATATAATAATAATATGAAATCTTTGACGAATTCCTACAGAATAATATATGACGTAATTGTGTAAAGAGTCTGGCATACTTTTTATGATAAATATTATTATCAGATGGGTTTTGTGGATATTATAGTAATTTCAATGGTTAAGATCATGAGTCAGTTGTATCAGATAACAATAAAAACTCTCTTGTAACAAATCCTCTTGTTCTTTTTCAAAAAATTTTGTGCCTTGGAATAAATACAATAGGAAAAATATCTTAGTTATGTATGCATAACTTGTAGAGTATCATCCAAGTTTCTCT